CCCTAAACCTGAATCCCAACAACCCTGAACCCTGAACCCTAAACCCTAAACCCTAAACCCTAAACCCTAAACCCTAAAACCCTAAACCCTAAACCCCCTAAGCGAGCCCGAGGTGCTCCCGGCCTCGGCGGGCTGTGCCCTGCCCGGAACCCCGGTCCGACACGGTTGGGTTACAAACGACCTTAAACGGGTGCCCACATCTGCTTGAAAGGGATGAGAGATTAGTTCATCAGAGAAGACTGCACCACAGACCTGTAAACCTGGAGTTTCCGGCTTTTTAAGGAAGAAGCCCATGTCGTAAGAGTGGCGAAAGGTTTTCTGAGGCATCCATATCCATTGCTATAAACACTCTGGTGGCTGCATTTTCGTGATTGCTAGAGTGGGAGTCCGCATGGACCCCAAGAAACCCTCAACACAAGTCACAAGTCCAAAATGCCCAGCAAAACGGCCACATGCCAATACTCCCTTGCAAAGCCCTGCTCCCCTCACTTTCCCAAGCCCGCTGATCCGCACAAACCCTTACATCTCAACGCGATGGAATGTAGGTCGTGTAGTGGCAGCGGCATTCTCATGGATTGCGAATCTTTCCACACGCGAAGTGCTAACCACAATATTGCCATATTCGCGGTCCTCACAATACACGATGCCGAGGGCAGGTATCTGGAAAAATTGTACGGAACCCTACTTCCAAGCAACCGTCAAACAACACCCGAAGTGAAGCCCTCGTCGGACCAGTTGACGAGCAGCACAGCTTGAGTGTGGGAAAACCAGCACCACACTCTCGTTCACTTAACATGCGTAAATGTATTGTAACCTCAACAACATCGACGGCCCAAACTTTGCAGTCTCAAACACGCTCAAGCCCTCACCGCAGATACCTCCAACTCTACAGGTATTCCAGATGCCAGAATTGACGAAACCATCGACTCCACACGCCTAATCCTAAACGCCCACCACAAGGAGAACCGTCTGCGCCTCGAAGAGAAACAGCATCGCAATTGCGCACATCGCCGAGCACAACTGACGTCAGCCAAACGTCTGCGGGCACATCGCCGTCTGTACTCTGCAAAGTCAATCATGCCCTTTTGGCCAAATTATTGGGAATACAGTGGCATCTTACATACTACACCACAAATCACAATTCATATCTTTGCCCCTCATAACCGCTTAGCACCACTTCAACGGTTCTTGTCAGCGTGTGTGTTTACATTAGCATTTTCAGCGAGTCACAAGGAGCCAAATAAGTCCGCTACAAGCCAGATGAGTCCGCGGACATAAGCTCGCAACGTCATTACCACCATGGGGGACTCACGGCTGTACCCAAACAAATTACAAGAAGCCCCATGCTTCGTCCCAACTCTCTGCACGACAAACACCATCTCACTGACAGACCCACCAGTCCAGAACGAACCCGATCACAGAAGCAAGCGCATTCAACAAGCAAGCAGCTTTGAAAAAAAAATCATGAGCAGTACGATCACCCAACTCCTCCACCAACCGATCAAACCTATAAAACCGAACACCTCTGCCCCAAGAACCAGCTTGTTGCCGCTTGTGCCGTAACCCTGCATCAAAACCGAGCAGCATCGGCGGAGCCCTTGCTGACAGCCATGCGTGGAAGATGCTGCTCTTGCGAGTGAGCGGCCGTGCTCCACGAAACAAGAATATCATCTCTGCAAATCCGGCCTTTTCACCCATCCTTCTGGCCTAGCGAGTCGTAGATTCGCCTCATCAGTCTCCATCGGTCCTGTCTGGACGCATTGTAGAGTTGTAGGGGGTGGAGATTTTCTGAAATATTTTTTTTTTTGTGGTGGGGGGGGGGGNNGATTCTCCGTATTTCCAGCAGGAAAACCTCTTTTTTTTCACTATGCTTTTCACAGGAAAACCTCTCTTTGCTCTAAATTTTACTAGCGAAAGCGTCTATTTTCGGTGCCGGGGTCACTTCCTCGCTGCGGTTGCGCACCGTTTTTGGGTCACTTGGCAACCAAACTTCGGGGTCACTTTTCCGTCCAACGGATTCAAATTTAGGGTTCAGGCTTCAAGATTCAAACCTCCTCGGACTCATC